CATCAGACACAATAATGATAATATAGAAAGAAGCACACATTAACATTATTTGTCTAAGCAAAACATGTTTTAACACATGTATTGAAAAATGCAGTTCAGTCTTCACTTCAGTGAACTCCAGACAATTCAGGAACAAAAATCTATTCTGTCATAATTACCTGCTTGGGCTGCTTGTCTTCTATTAACTGGGATATTGTGGTGTTATCTGCCACTTCATCACTCACTCACACTTCTCTGCTTCCACTGCTATAATTATGCCTTCAGCAGTTGCCTGGAAGTGTCAGAATAAGGAACAAAGATTGCAGACAGAAGGAAAACATAAAAAGCCCTTAAAAGTATGGATCACTCTGTTGTGAATGAAGAGCATAAATATCTTTCAATACAAACAAAACTCCTTAACCTGACATTTTTGAAAGCCTTTCTGTCGTCACCTCATTTATTATGGATAAAGATGAATGCAAAGCAAAGATCATAGAATCATAGAATCCTAGAATCACAGAATGGCCTGGGTTGCAAAGGAGCACAGTGCTCATCCAGCTCCAACCCCCTGCTGTGTGCAGGTCACCAACCAGCAGCCCAGGCTGCCCAGAGCCACATCCAGCCTGGCCTTGAATGCCTGCAGGGATGGGGCATCCACAGCCTCCTTGGGCAACCTGTTCCAGTGCCTCACCACTCTCTGTCTGAAAAACTTCCTCCTCATATCCAACCTAAACCTCCCCTGTCTCACTTTAAAGCCATTCCCCTTGTCCTATCACTATCCATCAAACCTGTCTTGCACTGCTTCAGAACTAGGGCTCCTAGATTCTATTTCTCAACAATTAATAAACAATAGTTACCACACTATTCACTTCATTGGAGTAAGCTGTGTCTTGCAGTTGATTGTACAGTGTGGCTTTCTAATTGGCACATGTACAAATACTGTAGAACATGCATTTTCTTAGCTGTTTACATTCTGAAGCAGATTAAATAATATATTCAGAAGCTTGCTCTATATTTAGATACCTAAATAAGCCTCTTGATCTTTTTCAGAGCACCTACAAATGTCAGAATTGCACAGTGCTTCTGAAAATCAGGCCATTTAGTTAGGTGTCTATATTTAGGTACATGAGTTTGAAGTGTTTGGCTTGAGGTCACATAGCTACGGCTCATTGCCTTTTTTATTTCCATTTGGGTCACAGCGGGCAAGTCACTTCTGATAATTCTCATCAGAGATCTGTGAAATAACGGGAGAAGTGATAGGGATTGCTTATTAAGTACCACCATGGTGATTAGCACTTCCTAAGACATGTGAGGTTTCTTTCCCAGAGAAGAAAACAGCAGATCAGAAAGGTGAGGCGATATGTTCTGGTTAGACTGCGTTCATTTCCTGGATATTGTCTGGCATCTTTGGCATTCCCTCTGCAAGCTTATGCTCATTTTGACAAGCCAGATGCTTTAGCTTCCTGTATGTTGGGTAAATCCTAGAAATCAAGTGCTTCCACGTGTTAACACATGGCAGCAAACCGACATTTTGTAGAATCATAGAATCACAGAACGGCCTGGGTTGCAAAGGCCCACAGTGCTCACCCAGTTCCAACCCCCTGCTGTGTGCAGGTCGCCAACCAGCAGCCCAGGCTGCCCAGAGCCACATCCAGCCTGGCCTTGAATGCCTGCAGGGATGGGGCATCCACAGCCTCCTTGGGCAACCTGTTCCAGTGCCTCACCACCCTCTGGCTGAAGGAATTCTTCCCAAGGAATGTGAGCTGATGCTAAGACCATGCTGTTGGATTGTGACTATACTTCCAAGACTGCTTTAGAATGTGCACAGTAGCTCGCACAGACCTTGTCCATAGTGAACCAGTTATCAAATGGAAAGGTCTTTTGTGTAGGAGCGCAGAGAGAAGATTGCTGAGAAAAGGCCATCAGGAGGAAAAGATGATTCTTTCAAGAAACGAGGAAGCAGATTCCTTAACACCCTTGTTCTGCACCTTGTCAGCCCCTCTCACACAGCGAGGGGCTTGGAGCTTTGGAAGCAGATAGATACACAGTCAGCAATTCCCTCTGCACTGCCCTAACTTTGTACAGGGGTGACTGCTGAGAAGATACAGGAGACCAATAGGTGAACACCTCACACGTTTCAGCTTCTGTGTCCCTGGTCATATGGCGTCAGATTTAAGAGAACCAAGCTTGCACTTTAAGGGTGGTATTGTTACAAATCAAAATCTTTTGGTTTTCTTTTTTTTTTCTTTTCTTTCTTGAAATGGAGATTGTTTTACAAGTCAAACTCATTTTATTCCTTGATCTATCATGCATTCAAGCTAAAAAAAAGTCATCTCTCTGTTAAAAATACTCCTTAAGCAGAAATTGGAACATGGCATTTTTGTTGTCTTCAAAACCAATGGCTAGCTGTAGAATAATACAGCTCTATTTTGTTGGATTTGATGTTGGATATGGAATTTTTGCAATTTCAAATCAAAAAGACCTTTTCTTCAGGCATTCTCAGAAGTGGGTGGAAAATGTTGAGTCCTTGTTCCTGTTCTCGTTGCCTTAAAGCACAGCCTCCTGTTCCACCTCAGTCTCACCCTGGAAATGCTCAGAAACAGCTGGGCTATACCGAAGGTTGGGTTTGGGGACAGCAGACCCAAATACAGGGGCTGTCCTGCAGCCAGGTTGGGAGTTCTGGAGTTCTAGAGAAAGGATATAGAGAAGGACAATAAGAAATGGAACAGCTTTTGTATAGGAAGCAGAGAAAACCATATCAGCTTGAAAAAGAGATAGCTGAAGGGAAATACAATTAAAATCTGTAAAATAATGATGGAGAGAAGGTTAAAAAAAGAAATCTCATTTATTGCCTCTCACAACAAAAGCGCATTTAATAAAACAGTCAGGAAGTAGACTCCAAATGGTTTTTGCACAGTGAAGAATTACCGTGGCACGGCACAGTGTGGAAAGCGAAGCCAAAAATGGGCTCAGAAAGAGCAAAGAGCAATTTGGGGAGGACAGGACCACTGGCAGCACTGGTACCAGTCTGTACAACCTAGAAGTCCCTAGCTCATTAGGGAAATGGTAAGGTAAAGATGAGTGTGGTCTGTTTTTACAGTGTTTCGTTAAGCATCCTGCCTTGGCTGCTGAGACAAGACACAGAGCTGGATGGATCCAACTGTTTTTATATTCTAAAAGAGTAACAGAAACAGTCAAGGGTGTAATGATGCTGACATAGCCAATGTTAATTTTACTTGCTTTAGCCACTCTAATCTCTGGACTTGACCATTTGCAAGACATCATAATCCATATCTGGCCAAAGAATTTGGGATTATCACAGCAAGCGGAGATGTATAAGGAACGCTCCTTGAAAATCTGCTGACTGTGTGACATTCGTTCCTCATTTCTTCTGAAAAGAGAAAAAGTGGCCCTTGAAAGGCTGCAGGAGCGAGTTAGTGCTGATGTTTTGCTGGTCAGCTTCTGCTCACAGTACTTCTGCTGTGCTGAAATTCACTGTGGTTGCTTCGGTACATGTGAGAGGCTGCTTTTGCTTCCAGATGAAATGTGTAGATAAGAAGCAGGTGCGAGCTGAAGATAATGAGCAGCACAGGGTTGGGATGAGACGGCCTAAGCTTGCGCTGTGAGATATCAGTAACCAAACTCCCACTCAGCTCCGTGGGAGCAGGGCTGCAGCACCGCTCACAAATCACGCCACCAGCAGCTGTTTTATCACCTCCTTGGGTATTCTCTCCATAATTTCACCTTCCTCCAGATTTTGGCACTCTGCAACTGCCTGGGCTGTAGGAAGATGCCCACAGCATTCTGGAAGCACAGGGTGCCCACTCAGGCTGCATGGCCTGAACGGCTCTGGGGCCAAAGCGGGCGGCCGCCGGCCCCATGAAGCTCTCGCAGCCGCTCTCACTCTGACTTTGCAGCACTACTTCTCCATGTCTAAATAATGTATTGTTGGGTGGCTTCTGATGGAAAACGTTACTGCTTACAACAGGGGACACTGACCCCTGTAACTGTTGCCAAACGTTGTCATTGATTAGTATTTAATAATTTGAAGGACATTTTTTACTGTAAAGAGTGGAATGTGGCAGTTTTCTCCCTGTTCATCTTAGCAATAATGTCTGGATGTATACAAAAGCATTTCCAAATACTGGCTCCTCTCCTCTCCTCTCCTCTCCTCTCCTCTCCTCTCCTCTCCTCTCCTCTCCCATTTTACAACTCTCTGCACCATCCTCACTTCACATATCCCTCATCTCACCGCTCACCCAATCCCAATCCCCAATCCCCATCCCCATTCCACATCCCAGTCTCCAATCCCTAATCCCAATCCCAATTCCTAATCCTCACCCCATCTCCCCCTCAGCCCACTTTCCCGCCTTGAGGCTCCGCCCCCTCCCACCTGTTCCCGCCCACCTGTTCCCGCCCACCTGTTCCCGCCCGAAGCGCCGCCGCGCACACCGCTGTCCGAGGCGCGGTGCGAAGTGGCGGACAGAGAGGGGCGTGTCCAGTGGGCTGGGGGGCGGGGCTGACTCTCTCCTCGCATTCTTACTGGCGGCGCCGCACGCCCATTAGGGCGAAGCGCTTCGGTGATTGGGTGTCGGCGGCCCCTTCCCTCCCGCCTCCTCGTCCACCTTCGCCTCAGCGGCGCGGCCGGCCGGCAGCAGCGGGGCGCTCGGCGGCGGCGACGGGGCGGCAGCGGCGGGGAGGCCGAGGCAGCGGCAGCCGCAGCAGGTGAGGGCCGGGCGGCAGCAGCGGGGCTCGCGGCAGCCCTGCCTTGTCCCGCCGATCCCGTTATATAAGCGCCCTGCCCGCTCCCCGGCCCCGCCGTGCCGCGAGGAGATGGCCGTGGGCTGGGGGCCGTTCCGTCGGGCTCGGGGGTCGGGCGGCGGCCGCCGCGTGCGGGACGATCCTGCGGGGCGCTGCGTGGAGCCGGGCAGAGCCCGCAGCCGGGGCCGCTTTCCTCCGCTCCCTCCCCGGGGATTCCGCGGGGTCCCTCAGCTCTGTGCGTCCCTTCAGAAGCGCTTCGGCGATGCGCGGCCGCTGTCGGTGCGTTCCGCTGCTGCCCGGCCGTTGCGGCAGAGCTGGGAGCTGTGGGTGCCCGTCTGCCGCGAGCTGACGGAGGGCTGAGCGCCGGGAGCGGACAAAACTCGCAGAAAGAGCGAACTCGTTGGGTGAGAGTGGCAGAGGGCTTTCTGGTTTTGGTACGTTATCAGTGCTGTTACCCGTTAACTTTATCGAAGTGCAGGAGCTGTGTGGAGGAGTCCTGCTCCCCTCCGAGGGAGCTGTCAGCTCCGTGCTGTAGCTCTGCCTGCCGCCAAGCTCCGCAGGGCACGGGCACATCCAGGGGCTCTGTGTGATGCTGTGCAGAAGGTGTTTGTTGTGGTGGGTTTCCCATTGTAAGTTAGGTACATGTGAGCGTATAGACAGCAAGGGGAACGGCTGTTGTGAGGGTGGATGGTGATAGGACAAGGGGGAATGGTTTTAAAGTGAGACAGGGGAGGTTTAGGCTGGATATGAGGAGGAAGTTTTTCATCCAGAGGGTGGTGAGGCACTGGCACAGGTTGCCCAAGGAGGCTGTGGATGCCCCATCCCTGCAGGCATTCAAGGCCAGGCTGGATGTGGCTCTGGGCAGCCTGGGCTGCTGGTTGGCGACCTGCACACAGCAGGGGGTTGGAACTGGGTGAGCACTGTGGGCCTTTGCAACCCAGGCCATTCTATGATTCTATGATATGCACCAGCAAAGAAAACTGAGATTTTATTCTGAGTTATACCTGAAGTTTTATTCGTGTTTAACGCGATTTTATGGTTTGAATGGATTTTCTTTGTTCTGAAAAACACTGTTTATTAGAGTGCATTTTCCTTGTTCACCTATTTTGAGTCTTTAAACATGACAGCAATCAGCAGGCTCTCAGGCTGCCACGATGTGGGACGTGTGCTCTGCTGGCATGCAGCAGTCCATGGCTCGGTTCTTGGGCGCTTGTCACACTGGTTGTCATCATGGTGTCTGACTCATGGAATCATTATGATTGGAAAAGGCCAGTAGGATTATCTAGTCCATGGCTATCAAGCCATGCCCACTAACCATAGAATCACAGAATGGCCTGGGTTGCAAAGGCCCAAAGTGCTCATCCAGCTCCAACCCCCTGCTGTGTGCAGGTCGCCAACCAGCAGCCCAGGCTGCCAAGAGCCACATCCAGCCTGGCCTTGAATGCCTGCAGGGATGGGGCATCCACAGCCTCCTTGGGCAACCTGTTCCAGTGCCTCACCACCCTCTGGCTGAAAAACTTCCTCTTAAAACCATGTACCTAAGAGTCTCTTCTAAGCACTAAACACCCTGAACAGTTTCATGTTGCTCTGACTTCGTGGCTTCTTCCTTTCTGCTCCTCATAGGGAAAAGGAAGTAGGTCTTGGTGAGAATTGTGGTATATATATGAAGGGCTGTTATACTGCCCTCCGTGTGAGATGACAAATCTGGCTGAAGGCCTGTGGTGGTATAAGGCTGTCCACCCCTTTACAACTGGATCACATAATAGAACAGTGCAGGGGCCAAGTGAAGGTAAGCAGAAAGCTTGCTCTGGTTCCTTTGAGTTTGGGGAAGATGATTCTGTTTGAACACATTAACATTACCGTGGGACCTTTAGTGTCTGATGAAATGGTTTGAAGTTGAGGGAGGGTAGATTGAGGTTGGATGTCAGGGGGAAGTTTTTTCCTATGAGAGTGGTGAGGTGCTGGAACAGCTGCCCAGAGAGGCTGTGGATGCCCCGTCCATCCCTGGAGGTGTTCAAGGCCAGGTTGGATGGGGCCCTGGGCAGCCTGGGCTGCTCTGAAATGTGGAAGTTGGTGGCCCTGCATTGGTGGGGGGTTGGAGCTTCATGATCCTTGAGGTCCCTTCACACCTGACTTTGGTTTTCTAGGTACCATTTTCCTTTGTGGCAGTGGGCTGGAGCCCTGTCTGCAGGGCAGAGCACGGGCTGTCTGCTGCCTTGTTTCCTCCATGGCTGGAGATGCAGAGTGCTTGGCTGGGTTCCTGCACTAGGTGTAGGATGCAGCCCTGGTGTGGGAGGCACACTCGATTCTGTTGAGCAACATGCAGGTCTTGAACAGCTTGAGCTGGCCAGCCTGCTTTAGATGAATAAAAGTGAATAGTCCCTTTGGATGTTAAAAGCCTCCAAAAATAGTTACAAAGGCTCAGCTAAATTTAATACGGCTCTAATGTCAATGGAAGGATTAGAACATTTGGGATTTGTACCAGTTAGCATTAAAAAAAAAAAATCCTCTTCCTCTCAACTCTGCCCCTTCTGTAGCCGGGATAGTGGAGGCTGGCCCTGTTTGCTGTGGTGCTGACCAAGTGGGAGCTGGAATACAGCAGTCATCTGCATTGTGTAGGAGGATAGCTGTGGGCCAGGCAGGCTGAGGGAGAAGGCAAAGGGAAGGGATGGCCATGGTCTGTGCTGCGCTTAACCTGCAGCACTTCATTAATCCTGTCACAGGAGCTCCCATTCTGCTTTCTAATTAAAATGTCTCCATTTAAATCCCCAGTGAAGAATTAGCACCACGCGAAGGTAACACCAATCTCCGGTGCTCATTTAGCAGGAAGGAGTGATGTTTCAGTGGGTTGTTGCTAGCTGGGCTTTCCGTGCCTTCCTGCAAGTCTGTGTTGGCCCTGCTGCCTTCAGCAGGAGCTGAGTCCTCGGGGTGGCACTCAGACTGCTAACCCTTCTGCTTTTGGGGAATATTTGAAGTAAGAACTAATCGTTTCAGGAAAACTTTCCAAGGGGAGGCGATTGGATTAACCGTTCTTTTCCATCTCTTAGAAATAGGGTAAAAGTTACTGATTTTAAGTTGGAGCTGAGGTGAAATCCTATGCTTTCTCTGAATCCTTCTAGAAAAATAATGCAACTACATTGCTCTGGTTTTTCCCCCAGTTTCTCTGTTCCTGCAGATTGCTGTTTTCAGGTTTGCAGTCAGGACTCAATAATACTTTTTTGTTTATGGTGATTATATTTAAAGCTTGCATTTGTAACAGTTTGTTTGCTTTATGAGTAAAAATAGAATGTTGTTTGTCATGGCAAGCAGTGTTTAACAATAATAATAAAAGTAAAGTTTCCTAGCAATTTGGAGAGTTATGGGCCTGTTTCTTGGTGTCCCAAAGGGATTCTTTTTAAAAACTCTTAGGACAGGAAAACGGTCACCAAGGAAATGCCTTCTTACTTTCCATAAATACAGTGGGTAAATCTATACGTATGTGCTGATATTTAAGCAACTGGCCCATTGAAACACGTTAGGGGATGGTGAAAACCTCTCACGCTTGGTATTTAGAGCTATTGCTAATTACGAGCTCATGGACCCCTTGGTCACAGGAGAAGAAATTCTGGAATCACTGCTACTGGTGTGAAGTGATGCAGACCATGCCCAAATCCCACAGCAGGAGTCCAAGGGGGGGTTGCATGGGAGGCCTGCAGGGTGCTGGTTTGCCTTGGGATAATTGCTACGGTTGTTGGGATGCTCTGTGTGGTGTATTTTCTGAGTGGAAGTTTTAGAGTCAAAATTCAAATTCAGAAATAAAGCTGAGGAATACAGATTACTGAGATGATCAGAGGGCTGGAGCAGCTCTCCTATGAGGAAAGGCTGAGGGAACTGGGCTTGTTTAGCTTGGAGAAGAGAAGGCTGTGGGGAGACCTCATTCTGGCCTTCAGTACTTGAAGGGAGCGAATAAACAGGAGGGGGAACGGCTGTTTGTGAGGGTGGATGGTGATAGGACAAGGGGGAATGGCTTTAAAGTGAGACAGGGAGGTTTAGGTTGGATATGAGGAGGAAGTTTTTCAGCCAGAGGGTGGTGAGGCACTGGAACAGGTTGCCCAAGGAGGCTGTGGATGCCCCATCCCTGCAGGCATTCAAGGCCAGGCTGGATGTGGCTCTGGGCAGCCTGGGCTGCTGGTTGGCGACCTGCACACAACAGGGGGTTGGAACTGGGTGAGCACTGTGGGCCTTTGCAACCCAGGCCATTCTATGATACCCTTAAGGCAATGTCTTCCCAGGTTTTTGTGAAAGTATAAATGGGACCGTGAGGGGAAATGTAGCTTTCTCAGAAGGAGCTCTGATGTAAATGGGAGCAGCTTCCAGTGATTGTGTTATTGCTGCATGTAAGACAACTTTCAAATGTGTTGACTTCATATTAGGATTCAGCTCATGCAGTAAACATGAGTTAGAGTTAATTGGTTTAAGGGACTTGAAATGTAAATTCTCTTGTTCTGAAGTGTTAGAGTAACTAGAGGAGTTTTTTGACAGGGACTTGTGAAATGGCTGAGTAAATTTAAAAAAAAAAAAAAATCCATAAGCTACCACCAGCAACAACAGAACACTTGAGTCTTAAGGGGTTAGGTAGGTTTAAGGAAGGACACATAGTTATGGCTGGCATTATAGGCATGTCTAATGCTAGTTAGGATGAGTAAGAATTCCTGCTCATGTCTGGCTGAAAGTGATTTCTCATGTGATGTTTTATTATGACAGTTATTGCAGAGCTTTGGAAACTGAGCTCATAACTTCATGAATGCTCTAAGTGGATCAGTTGCTGAAAAATAAAATCCTGGCCTTTGTTAGGATCTTTCTTGACGTGGTACTTGAGGACATGGTTTCTGGGGGTGGGTTGGTGCTTGGACTAGATGCCCTCAATGGACTTTTCCAACCTTAATGATTATTGCAGCCATGTAGTACGTCAAGCCAGCTAACAACCTAATGGAATTAAGCCTCCAATTTTCTCCTTGTTCCAGGCCACTAAACTTGCTTCAAGTGAACTGAGTTGTATGGTCATGCCATGAACTGGATCCTTCTCCAGTATCAGATTGTTGGGGGCCTGCTTCCACATGGAAAGCTGGAGCTGGAAGTGAGCAGCCCCAGGTGATGGTTGGGTTGTAGCTTTTAGCAGCAGTGCTGCTTTGTCTGCATACAGCTGGAAGGTTTGAGGAGCACCAGCACATGCTGTTGATTCAAGCACTCTTGTCTTCACTGGTTGTCACCGGGCTCAGGATCATAGGTGCTTTGTTTTGTTGGGGGAGCATGTATGCCTCCTGGTTGGGAGATCTCTATTTTAATTGTCTGATGTTGTTCATTCCTATGTCTTTTTTCTTTTTACCCTGCAAAATTTACCATATGATAGTCACTTCATGCAGATGTTCTTAGTTGTGCAGGATCCATCTGAAACTGGGCAGAGGATTTAATAGCCAGGTCTAAAAGCCTGATGACTTGGAAGATCAGTCAGCACTTTGGGTGCATCTGAAGTACAGAAGGGGTGTGTGTGTGTGAACATGCACTTCCCCAGCGCCTCCAAATCCTTAAAAAGAGGTCTCAAAAGGCATGCAGGACAGTGACCACAGTGACCTTCATTAGAGAGCTTGCCTTTGCCCAGAGCTCACGTCCCACTGAGAAATCTGCCTCAGCACTTGACTGAGAGAAAGGAGCAACCTTTCTTTTTACATAAAGACTTTGGCAGAATGAGACTGCTGTCACACTGCAAGAATGTTTATTACCTTGCAGACTCAGGTGGAGCTTTGATGCCTGTATATGACAGAACCACCTGCTGTGTTTTATTCTTATTTCCCTGTTACAATCTCAGATGCTTATAAACCGAAACTTGATTGTCACAACTCAAAATTCTGTTCTGTTTAGCTGCTTGCTGTTGTGGTTTTGCTCAATTTCTACTTTGTAATATCTTTATGTACTTCATAATGCAAACATAATATTTCTCCTGTAGAAGGAAGAAAGCTGTTTAGCAAAGAGGCCAAGAACTTAAGCTTTGCTCCTACTGGTTCTGTGTCAGTTCCTCCTCATCACTAGAAAGCCCAGTTAGCATTAATTCACACTGGAGTTCCTACAGCTTCTAAGCATTGCTTCATATTGCCTTTATCCTCTGCAGTCTGCTGTGTAAGGTTGCTTTTCAGTCCCCCTCAGCTGAGCGGGTTCTTCCAGCACAATGCTTGCACGTGGGGAAGAAGGCTTTTCCTCAGAGTGCCCCTCGCTGCTTCTCAAGTGCCTTCACCAACTGCAGGCCGTTTGCCTGCTGGGAATCAGAGCCCACCCTCACTGGCAAGTTTCTAACCTGAGATAAGCTGAGAGTGGTTGTGCTCATGTCAGACTGAGCTGGCAAAAATGCTGGTGTGCATCTGAGAGCTGAGGAACCTGTCCTCAGGGTGACACTGTGAAAGAGATCATTAGCCTGAGCTAATTACTCCTACTTCCTTACAGCACCGCATCCTTTTTGTTTTAAACCCCTCCCTCACAAATTAAACGTAAGGAATGCAGGGCTCAGAAACCATTCTAATGTTAGCTGTGACTTTTGGTGCCTGGAGAAGGAGTGCAGCTAAGATCCTGTGACCTACTGTGCAGCCCGTTACATGCACTGTGAGTACTGCTGCTCAGTATTTAACAGATACGTGGGGGTGTACCTCTGGAAAAGGTCTGCGCAGTTCTAGTGTGAGCTCATGGTTTGGGCTCCGTGATCTCTGCAGGTACCTTCCAACCCTGCTGCTCAAATACAGGCTGTGCCAATTGGGCTTCCTCATGTGCTGTGAGAGCAGAATACAAGTGGGCTCAGCTCTGAGCCGACTCTTTTGAATACGACTCCAGTGTGTTTCCTTGAGGACTTCTGTCATTAGCCCTGAGACTTCAGCAGTAATGATTTCTGGCACTTCTGTAACGTGAGGTTACAGTAGGATGTGCTCGGTCATCAGATGTCACTTCTGAGCTGCAGCAGGAAGGGGGTTAGATGAAAGCCACAAGCATGGCAAATGAGCTCTGTAATCATTGAGACTAAGCCTAAATAAAGTGTAGAGCTTAATTTTGGACAGCAGTTCTGCAAAATGCAATTGAAGCAATATTTACAACTATTAATAGAGAATAGCAAGTATGCGGTATGGGAAGGGCAAATCTGAAACACATGAGCACGCTGTGTTTGTGTCATTGCAACTCCTGCTAGGAGAAGTCAATGACTACATATTGTTATTGCTAGAAACATCAATAGGAGGGAAATAATTATTCTTCTGCATTGCCTCCAGTCAGCTTGTTAGAGAGCTCTGGAGGGGTTGCAGGTTACAGCTGCTATTTAATACACCTCTATAGGGACTGTCTATGGCAGCCGCAATAAATAGCAGCGTTTCTATGGACATTTCCTTTCTCTCCCCTTTCTCTGTTAAGAGGTTTATTCTTGCATCAGTGGTAAGGACAGTGTTTGGTGGATTGGCCTGTTCCTTCTGTGTCCTTAGAATGGTCGAAGTACAGATAGAAATATCTGTACCATGACGGATTTGGGAGTAAGGGCTCCAAAATTGGCAGGGTTATCCTAAAAGGTGGGGAGAATTATCACATGGCTTGTCCTTTTCCTTTGCTTACCTTGTTGTTTGCTTCCTAGTGACATCAATGTGCAAAGAAAAGAATTGCTAATGGGCATGGAAAACCAGTATATGTTCTGTCCTGGAACTGCAGAAGCATTTATCTTTGTTATTTGTAATCATGTTTCTTAGTTGTGCTGTTTTTATATTATTGCTACTTTTCAATAGGGTTGTCTCTATTCCTTGTTTTTCTGTTAGTCTCATCCAATGCATTATTGTCTCTGAGCAAGCTCAGAAGCACTAGCCTGGCTTCTCTGGAACAGGACTCCTGTTGGCACAAATGTGTCCTAGGCACAAATAAACATACTTTTTTCTTACAGGGTGAGTGAAACTCCAGTCAGGCTTCGTTTCTGGCTGTGCTCAGCAGCTTGTGCTGATGTGCTCAGGTTGTTTCCATGCCAGAGAATGAACCTAAAGCAGAGTCCCTGTTTGAGCCTTCGTGAAGCCAGTTTTGGTGCTCAGTTTCGCATGTTGTATTGAAATAGCCCGAGATACACATCCTACAAATTAAGCCCTGAACTATGAATTTCTGTTCTTGTGTATGTGCTATTGCTAAGTGTGGTGTAACTGTGTCTCTCTTCTTCCTGCTGCTAGGGATGAGGGGTGACTCCTACTTGTTTGGAATGCGAGGCCTTGGGCACTATGGCTGCATTGCAGAGGATGGAGGACAGTTCTTACTCTACTCTATAAATGGTGACAGCGATTTAAAGAGATGTTTCACGGAAGAAGATTTTCATGAAATCATTGACTTCAACGACCTCCCGAATTCTCTCTTTGCTTGTAATGTTCACCAGTCTGTATTTGAAAGCATGGACAGTAAGGTACAGTGCCAGTTTCCATCTTTTCAGTATAAGAGAAGCATATGATTTATGTGATATTTGTGTTTGTTGCAGTTTTGAGGAACCAGCAATACTTCTGTCTGTTGTATCCAATCCAGCTTCTTTGCACGAGTTTTTTTTTGAGGTGGGCAATAACATTCAAGAGCCTAAAAGCCTTTTTGCCAACTACAGTGAACATTGTTTTTCTTTTGGTGGTTCAGGTTTGTAGAATACTAAAATGTGAGTGCATGTCTCTATAGCAACAGTAATTGCAGTCGTGATGGAGGTGGCAAAGTTAAACACATGAAAGACATTTCCCCTTGCTGATCACATACCACTGTAACAGGACACTGCTCTTCCTGTATCTTCTCAAGTGTTTTGAGTTATGTATCTTACCTGGAGGACCTGAATGAATGCTAGTGCAACAAATTAAAGAGCACAAGAATATCTTCTGACTTTGCAATTAGTCTGAAATAAAATAGTTGCTTTTTGTTTTTTGTTTTAAGAAAAGCATATTATTTTCATCCAATCAGACAGAAACACTCCTACATTCTGCAGTATGTCTTCAGGTCTGATTTCTAAGCCTATTATGTTTCCTGAGGGAGATGTCAGGAAAATAAAACTGATCATTTGGAGCATTATTGTCTAATGAGGTTGGTCTGGGCTAATAGTTACAGGCACATGTGAGGCTATTTAAGTTTCTTGTCCAGAAAAGTCAATTTGGAGACAAGCTTGCAGCAGTGAAGCTGGGCTTCAGCTACAGAGCAGATTTGGTGAGGCTGAAGCATGGCCAGGATGGGCGGTGAGTCTTTCTTATGGTGGGAAGACTACCACATGAAAGGGAATCAGAACTAGGCTTTTAGGGGGTCCTTTCATTCAAAGATACTGAGCGAGCTTCCTGGTGAGGCTGTGCTCGTGCCATTGCTTGCAGTGCTTTGGAGTATTTTTTCAGACCTCTTTGTTTTCCATGCTGATGTCATCTTTGAGTAATACAGATGAGAAGGGAGTAATGTTCAGACAGCACAGGACTAAACAAAGTGATCATATTCATGTATTTAAAAATCCCACAAACAAACTAAACTGCGGTTTTGGAAAAGTGATGAATCTTTTTTTCCCCTTTAAAATCCTTTTGCTCGTAAGCAACTTGCACTCTGCTAATTTGTAGAATTTCATAACGAACTGTTAAATATCTCCAACTTTCCTAAAGTTCATAATGCATATTTTAGAGGTTTGGGAATGTTTTCCCAGATAGTTCTGGCATTCAAAGGCTCTGAAAGTACATTTTGAAAGGGAGACAACAAAAGCCTGCCTAGAACTAGGGAATTTCTCTTCCTTCAGCACAGATTTTTATCCCCGCTTGCTTCTAAGCTTTCCCTTTTTGAGAGCTGTGTTCCAGTGGTGGCTTAGTCAGAAAATGAAATGGGAGATTATGTAAGTAAGTGGGAGAGCAATCCCTGTGGACTTACAGGACTTAAGGATTTGTCTTAGAGCAGCTGGGCTGTGGAGGTGCATCCTGTTGTGTGTGTGGCCATAAGCTGTCAATGCCATGGGTTGAACAGCTCTGCTGGCAGGTAAGCAGTAGCTCCTGGAGGGCTATATTTAACTAGATGGGATTACCTCCAGGTTTCTCATTAACTCGAAGGGCCTGGGGAGTCGATTATGGTTTTTATCATTGCTGTAGAACTCATACTTGTGTTCCTGGTCGATTTGTACTTGTAATCCTTTCTATTATTAACTGTTGCTTCAGCATAATGGCATGCATGACTTCAGGAAGAAATGTTGTCAACTTCAGATTCTCAATGGCAATTAATTAATACGTCTGAATTATATCATCAATTATGCATTGATTCAATATATAGAGGTACGCTATATTTTTACTGCTGTAAAATGTTCTCTGAAAAGATGACTGTAGTCTACAGTAGGTTTGTTTTTAATCCATTCTGCAGAAAGTGAAGATGTTGCAGTGTTATCTTTGACTTTGTGGCTCGTGGCCTACACCTGTAGGAGGGAAATAGAGGTATATTTGATTGAGAAGTTGCAAGTTAGTGTGAATGGTTATTTTGGTTTGGCCTGTGAACTTGCTGCGTGAACAAAGTTTATGTATATATGTGACTCTGGCATACATACAGCAAGATTAATGTAAAGAATTCACTGACAGCTTCTGTAACAAATTCTGTTACCTGATGTGTCATAGGAGCTGTCAAGTTGAAGCTTTTAACATGTATCTAAGCAAGACACTTACTTTGAAATACTCATCTTTAGAATATTTAAGGCACTTACTAATTGAAAGGCATTTAACTAGTATCAGATCTAAAGTAGTTTCTGGTTTGTGCTTGGGTATAGGCCTATAACAGCCTGGAGGAAAAGCATGCTACATGTAGCCCTGCACTGAGGATCAGCTGCCTCGCTCCATCTGTCCTTACCACATCCTGCCCCAGGTACACTCTTGCAGCAGCATCATGTGTTGTACAGTGCTGCTTTGGAAGTCTTCTGTCTTGCCTACCAGACAGCTCTGGGCAGCCTGGTCTGGTGGTTGGTGACCCTGCACAGAGCAGGGGGTTGGAAATGGATGAGCATTGAGGGCCTTTGCAACCCAGGCCATTCTGTCATTCTATGAGAGTGCTTTGGACAGCTGGGTTGATAATAATGGCCCTTGGAGGATTTGTAGGGGAGGACCTGCCATCTTCAATGCACTAACAGCTTGCTCCAGCTAAAGGAAGGTTGTTCTGTTTATATGCACACCTAACAGAATCACCAAGGTTGGAAAAGACCTTCAAAATCACCCGTCAAACCGTCCACCCATCACCAACAGCTCTCACTAATCCATGTCCCTCAACACAAAATCCAGATGTTCCTTGAACACCTCCAGGGTCGGTGACTCCACACCTCCCTGTGCAGCCCATTCCAGTGCTTGACCACTCTTTAAGAGAAGTAGTATTTCCTAATGACCAGCCTGAATCTCCCTTGGTGCAGCTTGAAGCCATTCCCTCTAGTTCATCTAGCCATCTATCACGGCCAGCCTCCCCTTACAGCAAGTACCATTATATATTCTTTACTTTATGATTGGAAAATACCATGCTTCTGGACAGATACTGAAAAATAAAGGCCTGGAGAGTTTAATTAACAGGGTTGTTGCAGAGCTGGGATCAGGTTTGGCTGTGTCCCCATCATTGTATTTTTCCTTTTTCTCCTGTGTAATGAAAGGAGCAGATTTTTGAGTGTACAGCACTGCCTTACTTGAATCTTAGAAGTCTGATTTTTAAGAATTTTAAGAATGAAATCACTCCTAAATCCTGGAGTTTATCATACATCTCTTAGAAAGAAGCTGACGTGACTCCTCATGTTGGTGAGGTGTGGCAGAACTGTGCTGTTATTTTTAGCTGATAATGTGACTGACTGAGAGGTGCTGCTCCTCTTATCTGAACAGAGCTGTTGGGGTGAGGAGCCCAAGGGCACAACCCTGCTCCTGAGCATGGAAATACATTTGTTTTAGCAGCTAATTGCTGCTGGTAGCTGTTGGGCTTTCCAGATGATAGCACTTCTCCTGTGCTTTTCTTGTATTTTATTTTGTGTAAATCCTTTCTGAAACTACTGTAACGTGACTGTGTAATTCCTCCAGGCTGATGCTGGTAAGCACTCTGCCACAGTGAGGCCTTTTTGTGTCAGGGTGTTCTTTAGGTGCTGTAATGCCTTGGGAAGTGTTCACTCAAACGTCTCCATTGGAATATGTTCACATGTGGGGAAGGTGTGTTTCTTCAACGTGTTTGGAGTCTGTAGTAGACTTTCACTATTTTGGTTGATGCTGGAAGAAGCACCAATAAAAGCAGGTAGTTATTCCAGATAAAGAATGCTTATTTGTTTTTCAAACCTTTGACTTATCGTGACGGTGCTGAAGTCCATTAAGTGCTTTTTCTTGCCAGTTTAATTAAAACCAATCACAGAACCATAGAATTGCTCAGGTTGGAAAAGACCTTAAAGATCATGGAGTCCAACCATAACCCAGCCATCCTACCCCAACTCTAACAGCCCTCCGCTAAATCACAGCCCTGAGCACCACATCCAAATGTTTGTAAACACATCCAGGGATGGTGACTCAACACCTCCCTGGGCAGCCCATTCCAGTGCTGAACAGCCCTTTCTGTAAAGAAGTGTTTCCTGAGATCCAACCTAAACCTCCCCTGGCACAACTTGAGGCCATTTCCCTTGTCCTGGCACCAGTGAGAAGAGACCAACCCCGCTCTGCTGCAATCGCCTTTCAGGTACTGGAAGAGAGCAATAAGGTCTGCCCTCAGCCTCCTCTTCCCCAGCCTAAACAGCCCCAGTTCCTTCAGTCTCTCCTCATGGGCCATATTCTCCAAGCCCTTCCCCAGCCTTGTTGCCCTTCTTTGGACCTGCTCCAGCACCTCAGAGGATAAATCGGGCTCTGTTTAGTGATTCCTACAGGCAGGGGGCACGAAGTGGAACACAGGAGGTTCCCCTCCCATCAGAAGCAGTTCTGTATTGCATAGGTGGTAACTAAGCACTGGCACAGGTACCCAGAGAGGCTGTGGAGTCTCCTCCTTGAAGATTTCCAGAAGCTGAATGGATGTGGGCCTGGGCACGCATGCTGCTCTCATGAGGGATTTTTTTAATCTTGTGTTTTCACTGTTAGCTGTTGGATGGCTCCTTGCTTTTAATACAGAATTCTACATTAGGCTTCTTTTGATTTTATTGCCTCAGGTTATTGAACTTGAGTCTGGAAGAAGATTTAAGGTTATCTCAAATGAGTGCTGGACAATTTGTCCAAGGAGGATGCTCTAAGAGATCTGTAGCTATATTTAGGAAGACTTTTTTTTTCCCCCTTTGTTCTTGCATTCAGCTTTCTCAACAAAGCAGACTTTCATGCTACAGTTGTTATGTTTATAGTGCGCTAAAAGACACTGGACAGCTCAGTGGTCTGCTGTGTTGCCTTTCACTTTACATGTTAATTCTGGAATTGAAACTTCCTACTGATGCTTTCTGAC